CGTTATGTATTGCAATGTATCAAGACATTCTTCTACAAACACCTTACAATTAAGGTGTCAGGTGCAGACATATTTCTCAGATATTCCAATGTTCTAATTCTGGAATCCTTTGCAGAATTACATTCTAATTGTTTCATCAGTGAAAAAAGCAAGATAAGTGTTCCCTATGCAGTATTGCAATGCTTGCTACACCACACTTGATTTTTTATTTTTTTTAAACTCAGATTGAAAGATCATCCATTACAAAGACCAACTACTGGTAACAGTGAAAAACAGCTGTGGCAAAAAGGAGTTCACGTATTTTAAAGCTTTTAAATATATACCAGTAGCATACATACCGCAGTTGCAGGGGTCACAACCACGACCGGGCCCGCCGCCATCTTTTGTGGCCCCGGCCCGCATGGCAAACCGCCGGACTCGCCGTCCAAGGGGTCCCTCAGGTGGCCCATGCTGTAAGGGCCACCCAATGGGTATGGATTATCAGGGGGCCTGGTCAGCGCTGTGGTGCTTTAACAACGGGACTTATCCCCCCATGATGACATCACATGCTGGGAGGAAATGACTGCCCTGGTCACTCCTCCCAGCATGCAAAGATCCCGCGTGAAGCAGAGGAGGGAGTCAGATTGGGAACTCTGACTCCCATCAACCTGAGCCACCACTGGACCCCAAGTAAGTCACTCTCCTACACCTAAAAGGTAGGAAACAGGAGGGTGACTTAAATATTTGTGTGTGTTTGTTTGTTTGTTTGTTTGTATGTGTGTGTGTGTCTGTATGTGTCTGTATGTATGTGTGTCTTTCTGTATGTATGTGTGTATGTATGTGTGCCTGTCTGTATGTATGTATGTGTCTTTGTATGTATGTGTGTCTTGTGTGTGTCTTTCAGTCTGTATGTATGTGTCTGTCTGTTTGTCTGTCTGTGTGTATGTATGTGTCTTTGTATGTATGTGTGTCTTGTGTGTGTGTCTGACTGTCTGTATGTATGTGTCTGTCTGTCTGTCTGTATGTGTGTATGTGTGTGTGTGTGTATCTGTCTTTATGTATGTGTCTGTCTGTGTGTTTGTATGTATGTGTCTTTGTATGTGTGTGTGCCTGTCTGTGTCTCTGTGTGTGTCAGTCTGTATGTATGTGTCTGTGTATGTACGTATTTATGTGTGCCTGTTCGTTTGTATGTATGTGTGTCTTGTGTGTGTGCCTGTATGTGTGTATGTGTCTGTATGTGTCTATGTGTGTGTGTGTCTCTTTGTATGTATGTGTCTCCATGTATGTATGTGTGTATATGTATGTGTGTCTGTATGTGTGTGTGGGGGGGAAGAGGGAGGGGAGAGGGGGTAAGTGTAAAGGGGTAGGGGATGGGGGAGGCCCCATGGATCATGGGCCATTATAAAGTGTAGTAATAGGTGAAGGTGAAATGTAACTAAACTATAAGACCACATAAAGGTTCCTTCTTTCTTACACAATTTCAGAATTACAGCTACTTTGATTTATTTGCAATATCAATATGCATTTAAATTAGGTGTAAATTAAAACTGGATTTAAAGTGGCTCTGTCATCTCAAACATGTCTGTCTCCTATTGCTTTCTCTTCTCTTCCTCTTTCACATTCTGTTTATTTTCCCCCTTCATTTCTGATCTATTTCTCTTTAAAACATAAGACAAAGTAGGGACTATTTTGTGCTAGGTATTTTTTTTCTTGACAAATCTTGACAAAGGAAGTGGAGCTTGCCTTAAGCCTTAAGCTCTAGCCCTTGTCAAAATTGTAGAGTGTTGAAAAAATACATAAAACAAAATAATCCCTACTTTGTCTTGTGTTTTAAAGAGAAATAGATCAATAATGAAGAAAAGAAGAATAGATTTTGAAAGAGGAAGAGAAAAGGAAACATATGTTTTTGCCCGAAATACCCATGACATGAATGTAAATAATATAGGCTTGAAGTTGTATGACCCCTCCCATGATTATGTGTACCCCAAAATTAAATCCAAAACTTACATGTACATTGAATTATATTTTGTAACAGAATGCTTGACATGGAAAATACTCTCACAATTTTTTCTGCTAGGACTACCAGGAATTAAAGCAGAATGTGTGAAGCTTTTAAATTTTTCACTACTTCATGGATTAAAGATGATAATGACCTCATCAATGCCATGTTCTGAGGAATTGTATAAAATATAATTAGCGAGACAGTGGAACTCTATGTGTCTCAGAATGATTCTGACCCTCTATGTCTAATTGTGTATATGTGCGGTTTCTAAACACTTCAATCTTTTCAATACATTCAATCCTTTATCATTACGTTTTAAAGAGGGTGTTCAAACCCACATGTATTGTATATTGGTTTTAAACGACCTATAGGGCTTTCTTTCTCAACCACATATATACACAAAGCAACATGTATGAATAAAATAATTCAAAAGGAAACGCCTCAAAATAGATTTGTTTGTATGGTTTCTGTTAAAGTCTCACATGTCTATAAGTCCAATCAATTATTATTTGTAATAGGTGAAATATTATAAAAGAATACATTTACTTTTTCAAGGATAAACATTTACAAATATAGTATGCAAGTTTAATAGTGGTTACCAAATCCAAACCTGCTTCACAAAAGTATATAATACTTGTAAAAAATAGAACCCTCCACCCCTTGTACTGTATGTATCTGTATATATTTTACTTTGACTATTATCATGTTATGGGCTAACAATGACAAAGACAAATAACTTGTTTTCAACTGTACCTCTTAAATACAGTGTGGCAAATCTAGCCACTTATAGACTTAAACCGTATATTTAAGCCACCTGTATGGTTCTGTTAATATTATGTGTATTGTGCAATGTATGCAACATTCGTGTGTTACAGCACACGAATACCGAAAAGGTTTAGTCTGGTTATCCACGAACAGTGAATCACCACACTGTTCATGGAATAAGCAAAGTACCGAATGGGAGACCACCTATAGCCGGTCGTGTGTCTCCCATTAAGTACTTTGCAACATTGTATCCCTGTTAATTGCGGTCAGTAGCGGGTGGCCGCCATTTCTTTTTACCGAATACGAGGCTGCGGCCATCTTTGTTTGCGGAAAGCTCAGCAACACAAGCCCCGCTGGACTTCCGAGCCGTTTGGGAGTTTGCCGTTTTCGGGACTTTTATTCCCTCAGTCCAAGCAATCGGTTAAACGAATTGGTCCTGAGAAGGGAAACTGAACCGCGTTAAATAGCCGTCTAGCCCAAATATTATGTTGGTTATGCATTTTAATATAAAAACTGTATTTCTCTGTACCAAGGGATAATCCCATTAGCAATGCATTCTGGGATAATTATCTCCTTGGTACATCAATGTATGCTGGGTACTCTGGCTGTAAAACTCAGTCCCCCATGTAGTCCCCTACTGGACAAACCCTGCATTGTGACTTGGGAAACCCCATACAATTGTAACCACATAAATACTGTGCCTGTAATTAAAAACCTCAGTTGACCTCCAAGCTATGTGTCGTCTAGTTTTTGGGAGGAAGGGATTGTAACTACGCTACCTGTATTTTGCCTGTTTTGTACCTGCTTAATCCTGTCTACCAGCGGAGATACCGTGGATAATACTACTACTCTGCTACATACAGCAATACCCCTCATTCATTGCTTGCTTTTTTATTGCAAATTTAAAAATTCAGACTTGCAGTTTTGGCAGTAATACTTACAGGACACATGTCACCCTAATGCAGCACAAACTCACATGCAAGTCACATGCAAGGAGGTGTAACAAGGGCTGTATAAACAAAGTGATTTAAATCCTAAATGGCAGAGAATTGAGCAATGAGACTACAGGGGCATGTTCTATACACCAAAACTGCTTCATTAAGCTAAAGTTGTTTTGGTGACAATAGTGTCCCTTTAAAGACCCGTTCTTATCAGAATCAACTGATTTTCTGGGGCCTTGTATCCTTTGAGATATAGTAGAAACTTAGTTGCTATTACTAGCTAATCAATTGAAAAAAATATCTTTACTACTAAAACAAAACACATCATGGCTTTGTGTCTCCTATTTTTCTGTCAATCTCCCTTCATTTGCGATATTAAATTGCCACCTCATTTTTGAAATAAAGCATAACATTTTTAAAACCTTTTTTTCAGAGAGGGACTTTGGGTGCAAATCTGAACCAGTGTTTTCCAAGAAGACTGCCCATGAACCCCAAAACAGGTGGTCACTGGCAACCACACAAGGGTTTCTCATTACTTTAGCTTGTGTAACGTCAATTATTATTCTTATACTCCTGAGGTAGATATGTTGAGATTTATAATATCAGATATAAGATTTAAAATATTCTTATTATCAGGGATGTATTAGCCGCGAGGCAAACAAGGCATTTGCCTTGGGCGGCATTTTCCATGGGGGCAGCAAAAAAAGCCGCCCCCAAATGCCCAGGGCAAATGTCTTGTTAGCCTTGTGGCTAACTGACAAGCCAGGCGGGCGGGCGGGCGGCGCTGGGGAGGGAGCACTTTCCCCTGAGCTCTCTGCTCAGCTTCCTAACGCGGTGCAGAGTGATGCTGGGAGTCGGAATATGACGTCATATTCCGCCTCCTGGCATCACGCTGCGGTGCACGAGGGAGCTGAGCAGAGAGCTCAGGAGAAAGTGCTCCCTCGCCAGCGGTGCCCGACCGCCCCCCAAGCAGCCCCACTAGACCCCAGGGAGAGGGAGAACCACCCCAGCATTCCCAAAAGTAAGGAGGCTGGGGGGGGGGGGTGTTGAATTTTGAAAAGAAAAAGTGAGTGTGTTAATGTGTGAGTGAGTGAGTGTGTGTGTCTATTAGTGAGTGTGTGTGTGTGTGTGTGACTGTTAGTGTGTGCAGACACACACACTAACAGACACACACACACTCACTCACTAACAGACACATTAGTGAGTGTGTGTGTGTGTGTGTCTGTTAGTGTGTGTGTGTCTGTTAGTGTGTATGTGTGTGTCTGTTAGTGTGTGTGTCTGTTAGTGAGTGTGTGTGTGTGTGTGTCTGTTAGTGAGTGTGTGTGTGTGTCTGTTAGTGTGTGTGACTGTTAGTGTGTGCAGACACACACTAACAGACACACACACCCACTCACTAAAAGACACATAAGTGAGTGTGTGTGTGTGTGTGTCTGTTAGTTTGTGTGTCTGTTAGTGTGTGGGTGGGTGTCTGTTAGTGTGTGTCTGTTAGTGTGTGTGTCTGTTAGTGAGTGTGTGTGTGTCTGTTAGTGAGTGTGTGTGTGTGTCTGTTAGTGTGTGTCTGTTAGTATGTGTGTCTGTTAGTGAGTGTGTCTGTTAGTGTGTGTGTGTCTGTTAGTATGTGTGTCTGTTAGTGAGTGTGTCTGTTAGTGAGTGTGTCTGTTAGTGTGTGTGTGTCTGTTAGTGAGTGTATGTCAGGGAGTGTGTCTGTTAGGGAGTATGTTACTATGTGTGTGTCTTTTAGTTTGTGTGTGTGTGTGTGTCTGTTAGTGAGAGTGTATGGGTGTCTGTTAATGAATGTGTGTGTCTGCTAGTGACTGTATGTGTCTGTTAGTGAGTGTGTATGTCTGTTAGCTAGTGTATGCGTGTCTGTCAGGGAATGTGTGTGTATTTAGAAGACGGGGAAGGGGGAGTGGCAGGGGGGTGCCTGAGTTTTGACATGCCTAGGGCAGCACAAAACCAGGATACACCACTGCCTATGATGAATTGTAAAATGAAAACATAGACCCCTTGGGCTATTTAACAGGGGGCAGCTTGGATCCTTACAACAGGCCACTTAACAGTTACTTCTCTCTTTGGTTTACAATTCATAACTTTCCCAAACTTATTGGCACACATATACAAGAGTTCCACACAAGTAATTGGGTCCCTTGGTAATGACTTAAGTTCCTGCCTTGAGCCTGTGTTGCATTGTCTAGCATGATGTTTCTACATCGGAACATGTCTGCAGGAATAAAAAAGAATTAAAAAGACTTGCACCACAGGAGAAACTAGATGAGAAACAAAAATAATCACTTGGTCATATATATCTAGTGATTGTACAACCAAGAGAATCAATGAATTATTGTAATTACAAGGAGGACACAATTGGTCTATGGAATGGCTTTATTCAGTAATAATAGATAAACCATTATATTTTCTTGGCTAGTAACTTTCATTTAATTTCCATATACATGTTTCTCTTTTATCCCATGTATTAAATTCCCTCAAGGTTTATCTCTGAGTTTGTGTAGTCCATGAATAAATTCATAATTCTGCTTTAAAATGAAAAACCCGACATGATGGTGTTGCCTATATTATTTTCTTCTCGTGGACTCTTGAACTTCCTTACCATCTCACAGTAGACTTATCTCAGATAGCTTATCTGACTGCTTCCGTTCTTGGAAACGTTAAGGTAAACTCTCTCTTTCTTGTCCCTTTCAGTCTTCAACAATTTCACTGAAATCTTTCTTCTTCAACGAGAACTGCCACTGTCTGTCTGAAATCATCAGTGAAACTAGATGTGTCAGATATATTTTCTGTGTTTCTATTGTCATTCACACAACAGTGTAGGTTAATGGTTAAGCAACAAGCCCCTTTCAAACTCTTTACATTGGGATACCGGGAACTAACTGTATGAAAATGAAGCAGTACATTCAGCAGGTCTTCATCTTCAAACCTTTCTACCAGGAAGCTCTGCCTCAACTCAAGTGCCCTCTCAACAAGTAAACTTCAGCTACACGGCGAGGAAAATTCAGAAGTGCATAGTGTTTGTGCACTAGGATAGATAGGTAGGTAGATGTACAGACCATAAAAGAAAAGACAGACATAAAAAGTTACATCTTCTCCAATATTGCTGAGAATTTTCTTTGGATGCATTAAGATACATGCCGAGACTTATAATCAGTTTGAGCTTCGTTCAGCTTAGCAGAGCTGATCATTTCATTAGATAAAGTCAGCTTGGGTAATAAAACATTATCCAATGCTAAAATTTTACTTTCATGTAAGCCGTGAAAAGAAGTGGATTTGTCCTGTACATAGTACAGGCTTCTCTGCTGGAGGCAAAACTGGGGCCTTTCATCTTTTCCTATTTCTTCAGTTTCATGTACAGGTGCACCAGTTATTGCTCTGTTAAATATGCTGTTACTTTTATATTGTCTTTATCTTTTTTTTTATTGTTATGTTTTTCCCTACGTGCACGTGTCAACTTTATAGCCATCGGTTTAGGGAACGCTTAATGGTTTGCGTTTCTTGTCATACCACTGACTGACATTCCAGTAAACTTAAACGCTTTATTTAAAATGTATCAACAAGTTATGGAGCTTATTAGAATTCTAGAGAAGGACATTTACATTTAAATAGATGCTATTTAACAAGAACATAAAGATGCATTACATTAAAATGATGTACAGCCTATTGGGAGAGCTGATGTTGTTAGTCCCTAACAAAAGCTTTGACATTTTTTTTAAAATGTAACTGTTGCTTCCCAGGCTTTTTAATATCACGTGTACTTATCTCTATATTTACCAAATATTTATTTTGTAAAGCGTGAAAAATAATATTAAATGTATAAATCCCACCTCTTTATCCTGCAACGGAGTGCCTCCATCTTAGCTCCCTGTCAGTCATTGTTATAATCTCTGTCCTTTGCACCTGGCAGTTAGAATAGAGAGAGCAATTAGGGAAGAGGAGACATGAAACCATGTTTGTCCTGGCTTTGCCTTGTCTGAATTGAATTCTGATGTAATTTGCATCTTTTATACAAATTAAAAATAAAACACAACATCTCATGAAAATAATGTTAACACAGGTTATAGATATTTTTCAATGTTGTGCAAATAGTCAAAACATGGAAAATTTTCAATTAATTGAATAATATATATATTAGCCACTAAAAGTACTATTGTGGCCGTATTGTGTGTGATATATATAAATACAATCCATTGCCAGCATATCAATGGACACAGCCTATAGCATTGATTTAGGACCACGTTATTTCCTTAAATAGCAAGCATTTTGTGTTTGAAAAAATATTACCATAACATTTATTTGTAGCAGGAGATGCATAGCTAGCATATAATTACATCATACCATAGCAATTGTGTTTATAATTTGCTTTGCAGACAAACTTAATAATTCATTACAATTTGGGAAATGAAATGTTTTTTTAACAGTAAACAATATTTTACACAGGGTCTAAAATATTAGTATAAAAGCAATTTTCTAACATACAGTAGATGTGACAAAAAATGGTCAAATACCTTGTTAATAGGCATTTTCAAACTATTTAAAACTGCTATAGTAATCTTTATCAATTTCTGAAATGCCAATGTAATACTAACTGTGAAATGATAAAGTCACTTTATCCCTTTCCCCATGACTGTAAGAATGATATGACCTATTGAAACTTCTTATGTTGTTTGAAAGTAGGGGGTGAGCTTATAGCTTCAGAAAATTTACTGACAAATGACTTCTGTCAGAGAAATGTATTGCTCTTCAGGCTGACAATCATAACTAAAATTGAGTGAGGCTTTATGGACTAGAAGTCGTAATGCAGAATACATTAAAAAAAAAAACATTTACACTTGATTTAGGTATTGAAGGGATTAATACAGAAGCCTTTGAAGCCAAAACTGACAAACACAAGGAATTTAAGCAAAAGAGGCTGAAAGTGGCGATCAAAGTCACAGTTTGTAGGCAGTAAGAACACTGAGGACAGCTCTGGCAGCAGTTCCTATTTTCATTAGCGATATAAATAGTTAATGGTTTAATGCACTATAATAATGTACTATAGTTGGTCATGGCACTCAAGCCTTGAAACGGACAGCAGAATTCTAGTTGAGCTAATTTTGGAGAATCACTAAGTAACTCAGCTTTTTTTCATAGATCAACCTTTTCTCACATAAAGTTATCTGTAAAACCTGTTCAAAACTTCAAACACTTACATTCTCAGCTTGAATATTGCAATTAGCTGTCTCAGTATAGATCCACAAATCAAAACATCTAAAGGTTCGTCATGAAATCAAACCAAGATAAATACTCACACTGGGTAAACATTTGTCCTCTGTTTTTTTACGTACTGTGGCAGAAATGTTTTGTTTTGTCTTTGGTTTTTAACCTATTGAGGGGGAGAGAACTATGGCCAGCATTTTTTTAAAGAATTTAGAAAGGAAATCAGTTATAGCCAAGGTGCATCAATCTCATCAGCATAAAACCATTAAGTAAAATATCATAGAAGCATTATGATTTGAGGTTCCATAAAAATCTTTGTTTCCTTGTCACATTCAAAATCGTATACGACCACTTTGACTTGTTCTGAAACACAGGTCCAGAAGAGAGAAATAACTGAAATCGTTGTTGGTCAAGACACAGACCTATGTGTCTCACAATAAAGTTGTGCAACTTCTCTCCAGTAGATGGGATTGAAAATGCAATTATCTTATTATTTGTGTGTGTGGAGCTGGGGGGTGGGGAAGAGGAGAGAAGAACAGAAGGATAGGTAGGTAGGTAGGTTTTGTTGTATGTGACAAGGGAGCAATAGGAATTGAGTAGAACAGATATGGAAAAATAGTTTGCAACAAACAGAAGAAACAACTATGTTAGATGTATAAAAAGGGAACGGTAAACTAAGCACGTGTAAGATGAAAGTGAAAAAAAATAAAATGTAAGACAGAAAGTGCATTAGACTGCCAGAGAGACAAAGATATAGAGTAGGAAAAAAAAGAACTGTGAAATAGACACTCATGGGGAGATGAGTAACCAAATCTATAACTATATATATATATAAAATATAAACTATATAAAGTTTCTAAATCTATAAGTAAAGTGGATAGATAACTCATTGATCTCAGAGTCACAGGCTAATTCACACTTTTGAGGTCAATAAAGAGACTGCCATGAAATTAGGTAATATAATATGACATCTAGATCTCAAGATAAATGTCCTAAGAAAGAGAAATATGTATTTTTTGTAAGTGTTGAGAGAATGGAGATAGTATGTATCACATGCAAAGGGAATATTCCAAAAAGTAAGTTTCAAATTTAAGATCAAAATAGTTGGAATGGAAAAAAATCTCAAAGAAGCTTATGTCTTCAGTTGAGAATTTGAAATACACTTTGAATTTTCCCTTTAGTAAATA